GAAAGTATTCCAAAGAAAAAGAAAAGAGAAAAAGAAAGAGAAAAAGAAAGAAGAGGAAGTATTCCAAAAGTAATCTGCCACCGGTACCGGCGGGGACTGTTGTTAGCTTCTGATGCGCAGAAGAAAAATCTGGCCCACCCTATATTTTTACAGGCCCACCCTAAAGTACATTTCTGCCTACCTACTGGTCCGCACAGCAGCGTGCGTTGACGTTGGCGGTCGGCGTGTCTGAAGCAACAACCAATCACATGAATCTCTTGCCCCCGACATACAAAGCAATAGCAATGTTAAAACGAAGTAAACTCTCGCCTCCCGTCTCCTCCAGGACAAAGTTAAACTTCCTTCTTCAGACCGGTCCCTCCTACTTATCACCAGTGTCTAGACCCCGGGGATTTCATCGGAGCGGTTCTTTCCCTCCTAAATGATTATCCTGCAAACCGGGGCCTAATCGCCAAACACCATTCCATTCTCCTTTTGTATTATCATGGCAATCATTTCATTCATATGACGTGTAAACAATAAATATGTATTCCTTACATCACGTCTCTCCGGTTTGAACTGGGGTTTTTAGGGTGGCAGTTGCCGTCCCATGCCACCCCGGTAGATCCGCCCCCTGCTTGACCGGTACTTGCTTTTGATCAAAGTAAATGCGGAAAATCCGCACTCACACAGGTTGGCGGAGGTGAAGGGAAGGAGCACTTTTACAGCCTTTTTGGCGAGGTGGGGAAACTCTGTCTCCACAGACAGCCAAAAGTGTGTAAGTGACGTTTTCTGCCTGACGCTGTCTCCTCTCTCACTTTAGGTAACTTCACTAAAAATCGATCCATGTTGCCGCTAGCATAAAGTTAGCTGAAATTCTCGTTATTTTTTTCTCACGCTACGCCTCCCCTGAAGCTCACACTTTGAAAACCGCTGCTCTACACCATTTAGTTATGATGTAAATACTAAAGATGGCACAACCAAAATGCCACAGACAATTCTGGAGGAGCTGGATACGGGAATATCAAAAGTAGAAACAAAAGGTATTGCAATATATATGCCTTCCATTAGTACAGTCAGTGCAGCTAAAGCCACAGAGGTCTAAACCCTCTGAATGAATGGGACACATCACATGATCTTTTAAGCACCAAAAGCCCCTCACTCAAATGCCTATATTGTTTTCCTTGGAGACAGAGGGGAGAGAAAGAGAGAGTGTATCCTTTTCACTTAATTAAGATCCTGAGTGTGTTTCTTTCAATAAAGATGTGTGATTTATTTGCTTTTTCTCATTCTTTCTTTCGGCTTTCTTTCCTTCTTGTGGTTTCTTTCAATGCACTACTTTGAGAATGGCTTAAATATAAGCGGCAGCCTGATCACCCTGCAACACTCCTCCATAGCCTTAGTGGCTGGCAAACACAGCTGCCCCATCATTTCCATTCATAAATATTCAATACGACGCTTGTTGATTTTGAAAAGCTGTGCTTCATGTAGCCTACAAGGTTTTTTTCGTCTAATTTTTTTTACTTTGCATGTTTCGATACTGTTGCTGTTTACTCTGGCTACATTGAACATTCCTGGACTTGTTATGTAGTTGTTAAAATACACTTTCAAAAATAGAAATGGGAGTTTAATTCTTAAGGTTATGGCTATGAGATTGACTTGAAATCTCTATACCTGTATATCCTTCACGTTCTTCGTCATGTCTCCTGACAAATAACCTGACTAGAGGGGTTTAAGAATATTATTATGTTGGCATACTTCTGCTTTGAACTGCAAAGCCTTCTTCTCCATCCATCCATCCATCCATCCGCAGAGAACCCCAAACTTCCTTTTCGCTGGCCACATTAACTGGCTCTGATTGCGGGATTCCTAGGAGCTCCCAGGCCAGTGTGGAGATATAATCCCTCCAATTAAAAGAGGCGGATTTGGAATACAGTTCTCCCTATGTTTTATCCTAAAATCAACAATTAGTCCATCTGATTCATATTAGCACATGATGGAAAAAAAAGGAAATATGCTCATGTTTGGTCAAGGGTGTTTTGGCATCTTATGTGCATATGTATTTCATTAGTTCAAACAGATGCTTGCAATATAATCTCCAAGAGCATTTTTACTGGCATATCTTTACAGCCTCTACACTACAGTATTCACAAGGGAGGACCATTTTCCGCAATGACCTACGGCACTTTGATGGAGTCCTGCAGCTTTACCGTCATGACAACAACTTGAACATGTTTAGCGCAGATATGGTGCAGCAGTTATGACTCCTTACTATAAGTAAGTAGGAGCATACACTGAGACAGGCCTGGTTCTGTTCAGGGGCATTAGGGGGCATCACAGCCTAACTTTGTCACCCCTTAGAAGCTTTTTTCCACTCAGACACCACACCAGGGATAGCTAAGGCCAGTTATATTATATTATTGTTGCAGCCAAACTTCCGTATAATCCCAAAGAAAATCTAAATGTTGATGACACTTAAACTATATCATTTTTTAGATATAATAATTTCCAACAACAGCGAGTTTTTCTAAAGGAAATACTTATATCCCAACAGGTTGGAGTCAGTACTAAAGAGAAATACACTTATATTTGATTTGCAACAAACTAAAACTTGCTTTAATCTGGCATTAATTTGATAAAATAAAGTAAGTCTCTATTTTAGTGTTAATAGCAGTAAGTACTCAGAACCTATTGAATATTCAAATGTGAATAGGATATGTGAATGTGCATGTTAATTTGAGTAAGAGTAAGATTACATGCAACAGGATGTGTTATCAGGATACAAAAAATAACGTTATTACATTTTAAATAATGAACAATATATTACAAAGCAAATGCTGTGGGTGCTCTTAATCAATACAATATAGTAAACTAAAAAATAGCTTAATTTTGTTTCCTGTAAAAGGAGATTTGATTTCTGCGTTGTGGGCTTAACTGTGTTGTAGGCCCATACTTGTAGTAGTCTCTAATGAAAGGCAGATTTTTTATACTACATTTATTGGTTTCTTCTTTTCTAAGGTTAGATTGTTCTGTTGTCAACAAACACTTAAGTGTTGATATTTATTTTTCTAAGATTAGGTTACTGATAACATGATTAGATTATTTCTACAGGTATTTGAAACGGATTACATTTTCAAGGTAACCCCCTAACCTTGAATATACATATTATGGTGTGCCTTAAAACTCATGGAAAATGGGTTTCTATTTTCATATGTCTAAATGTACACTTGTTTGTGTACAAATGTGTGTGTGCGTGCGTGTGTGTGTGTGTGCATCTGTGCAAGACAGCATGTTACTCACAAGTCTCTTCCTCTCTGTGCTTGAAGTGTATCTTATTGACTGATAGAAACGGGATGCTGCTGTGCATGGGTTGGTAGCATGTTGGTAATGTTTACAGTGTTCGGCTAATCACGTGACAGTCAAAAGATTCCTGCCGTTGGAGCGCGCGGGACCACCCACGTGGCCAAAAAAGGAACAGCCACGTAATTGTGAGTGAACCTTTTCCTACGCAGAACAGGATGCGTGCGACCAAGACGGATTACAAAGGAGTCTTTTTACTGCTCACAACAATAAAGCATGTATTTGTATCTTCATCATACCTGTCACGTTTCAGGCTCCACGGCGGGGGTCGGATATCGCGGATTTGTTCTGCAAGCTCTCCCCACCTGGACTGAAGATGGTGAGTGCAGGTCTGGCAGCCAGACGCCGCTGACCTCAGGTGTGAAGTTTGGTCTGACAGACTGATCTCAGGTCCATAAAGTGCTACACAGGCTAATTATCACACAATTCCTATTTGTTTAGTTAAGCCTGTTGTATTGTTCAGATTCACTCAAATCTTATAGTAAATTAAGTGATTTTGCTTTTCCCTTAAAGGTTTAGGTCTTGGATACAGTTCTCAAAAATGTGTCTTTAAGATATTTTACTCCCATTGGTTCTGTAACCATCTGGGATTTGGTTTATAAACAAGTGACATTTAGGGGAGCAGCAAACATTACTTTTTGTTTTAATGTCAAAATGTTGATTTCTTGAAAAGTTATTTATCTTCTGGCATAGTGGACAATTGATTGAAGTCTGCAGTATGCTTATCTGAAAATAGTGCGAAATGAGACATTGTCAAAGGATATAACAGTCTGATATAAACTATTCATGGTTAAGATATCGATAAATCCACAATGTCATTGACCTGAGAGATACATTTCAGATGTTAGAGCGACATTAAATCTGCGTCTGGGACCTATGTTAATTATGAGTTTGTTTTTTTAACTACATAAACGCACCTTTGTGATATTGTAGCAATTTATAGCAGGGAATAGGCGGTATGAGTAAAGTGGATAATAAAAGTTAATACAGAAAAACATTCCTATGCGTAAAAACGCCTATACCACAAAAGTGTGAGCCAATGGTCAAACATAACTAGCCTATACACCATTTAAAGTTTACGGTTACCTTTATTAAAACCAACATAGAATTTTGGCTGTAGGCTATCCCTGGCTGTAATACAGCATAGAAATCTACATGCTACAAGTGGTGCTGATATTGTAACGATAACACACTGTGGGACCTCCCCTTGAACCGCTGCAATTTGAGGCTCAACTACCACCACCGTAGAAAAAAAATCTAAGTTAAAAGCTGAAGTTCTGACATTCCTCGGGGCCTTCCGTCGCACAGACGGTGTACCTTGCTTGCTTCAGACTTCAGGTAGACGGGAAATGCTTCTTTCTAACGACAAGGCGCTGTGGAAACCCAAAATAACGTACGAACCAAGCGGCTTTGGCTCTCAGCGAGCCTCCCCTGAAGTTGGAGATGCACACATGAGGTCTCCCTGCCTGGGTGGTCTCTCTACTTTAGTGAGCTGTTGCTAAGCAGCTAATAATAGTCTTGTTTGCTGAGTAATTTTTGCCCTTCTGGAACCAATCAGATGCAAGAAAGTCCTGCAATCTGACAGCCCCAGAGGCGGGATCTCGTTTTTTTTCCCTTTACACCCCTCCTCCTCCTCTGCCTCCAAATGGAGAGAGGTCTTTTTCTCCTCTTCTATTGAATCTCAGAGTTAGCCGTGACGCGCGGCCCAGGGGAAGACCACATAGATCTCACCAGAATGCAACGACTATCGAGCTTTCTCGCCCGAAGACTTCTGTATGGGAATCACTTTGCGCACCTCCCTTTTTGAGAGAAACTTGCTTTTTTTAAGAGACACGGGGAATGCGGTGAAAGCGGTGGAGACCTCCGGATCGCGAAATGTTGGGATGGAAGGCGCAGACTTTGACTCGCCGTCTCCAACAGGAGTATGAAGTCCTACTTCACGGTTGTGAGATCTCCGAGAGGGAAACTTTGTTGCCTTGGGATATCGCTACACGCTCTCGGGGAAATACTATAAAGTGGGAAACAGTCTCGCAGTCCCCGCAACATGGCCTCGGCTGCTAATGCGCCCTCCGAGCAGGAAAACAGAGACCCCGATCGGCCCAGGATAAGGCGGAGGAACAGGGGGGACTATACCCGCAACACACCGCTGGATTTGGAGTATTTGCAGCGGCCAAGTTACTGCGATGCGAGCTTTGCTTTGGAGCAAATAACCCAGGTGCTTATTCCTCATCTAAACCGAGAGAGACTTTTGTGGTCTTCGTTTCATTGAATTCGCCGAAAAAAGTGGCCAAACTATGTCCAGTCGCTGCTAGGTAACGGGCAGGGGGACACAGGGGTAAGGCAAGGTTGTAGTGAGCGGAGAGGTGGTTCGTTTTTAACTGTGCAACATTTAAAATATCATTCTGCAACTTGCATCTGTTTAAGCACGTGAAGCAAGTTGTATGAGCAAATACAAACTCCTACTACAACATCCCAACCTATAACGGTCTCTGAGCAGGAAAACATGCCGCTTTCACACCACACACAGTCGACACCACTATGACTTTTTCACAACATCCAGCTTTGTGCTTCTCTGCACGAGTGGCGTAAAAAGTGTTGTTGGCTAACTTTAATGTTAGTTTGACAGTTTCTACACTTGTGAGACTCGTGTAAAGGGGGAAAGAATCCATGTGGCTGCCCTCTTCCGTTCACAAATACTGTGAGTCCCCCTGGGATGGCTCCTCCAGTCCCCATGCAGGCCGGAACACACGGGCTGCTGCACGGGGAGTGGAGCTGTGTGTGGTGGGTTTTGTGGGTTTAACCGGTTTAACCACATGCCCCCTTTCACGGCATTTAATATCAAAGTATGCTGTGCAGGTGTGCGTGGGTATTAATGCAGAGTACTTAACTGACAAATTACAAAAATAGAGTAACTTCTGTGGAGTCGGAAGCAAAGCCTTTTTACACTTTTAAGGTGTTTTGGCTCTATTCACAGGGACCATACTTTAACAAGATTATCATGCTTCCAAATCAGGATTTTAAAACCCTGAAATACATGGGTTTGCATAAGGATATCTCTTTATAGAATACAGGACACAGAGAAGGTTTATTATCAAAACATCACCTACTGCATCATTGTGTCCTGACAACTTTGTCCCCTTTACCTTCATCAACTCTGGAGGTCCAGCTCTAAACCTATTTCTGAGCACAGCAACACAAACCAGTGACACCTAATGTCAGTGTGTGTGTATTAGCATTCTCATAACTCATCCGTGTAGCAGCAAAATGTCACGAATGGACCAGGCTGTGCGTGTGTGGGTGACCTGTAGGGGATGAAGATATCTTCCTTTTGCATGTCTCCTGCTTAGGTTACCGTTTATACATGTTACTGATATGACAGAACCTGTGGCTCTCACTCTGGGGAGTCCTTAGTGGTTTCTAGGCGGTCCTCAACAGATGTGTATATTTCAATCATCACAGGTTAGATGAGTGGGACAGTGAATGGGTTTTAATGTTTTGATCACAACTCCCCATTTTCGCCATAGCCATCATTATAGAGACACTTGCAGTCTCAAAGCGAATCATAACAACTAGACTTCTCAAATGAGGTGTCTCTGGAGTCAAATTGTGGCCCATAGTTTAAATATTTGAAGACTCTTTGATTGAACACATCAGGTACCACCCATGGTTTTCAATTCTGTACAACATCAAACCTTTTCTATTAAACCCTTCAGATATACCTGTACAGGTAAGTGTATGTTTTGTGTTTGAATTTATAATAACTTTACTTCTCTTGTCTCATTCTAGGGGAAGGCGACTGGGAGGAAAGCACCTCTATGGCTGAGAGCGAAGTTCCAGAGACTTTTATTCAGGCTGGGCTGTTACATACAAAAGAACTGCGGAAAGTTTTTGGTTGTGGGCCTCATGATTTTTGGAGCTTTTGCTGTGGGCTTAAGGGCAGCTAATTTGGAGACGGACGTGGAGAAACTTTGGGTTGAAGGTAAGAAACTCTGATTTGTTGTCTGTTTGTGTGTATCTGTTTGTAAAGTGTGTGTGTGTTTTGAATGTAAGATGCTGGGATTCATATTTAGTTATATTCTTTTGAAGCTGTAATATTTGATATTGAATGTTTGGACTAGCGTGTGATGGTTTAGGGTTAGTGGGTGCTTCTAAACAAGCCAGGGGAATTGTTTATTTTTTAGGCCCTGGCAAGTGGCCAAGTGATACTTGAAAATAGTAGAATTTCCCTAATATACTTGCAGCTTCTCAAGCCATTTTAGATGCACATACAAGATGTGCAAGAGGTGACTGATTGCACTCAGAAGTAAGGATGTAATTAAGTTCATAACCAGCTTTAGGGGTAGAGGACATTTTTGTCAAAGCCGCCATTTTGTGAGTGTGTGTGTGAGTGTGTGTCTGCCTGCCCCCAGCAGTTGAATGCTCAGAGACTGTGTGTGGTCCCGTTTTGGACAGCTCTCAACTTTCCAAAAAGATTTGTGTCTGCAGGGAAAAAGCGGAGTGAGGACAGGAACTCATATTTGAGGAGTGGATATGAAGCTCACTTGTTGTTTTTCAGAAACAACTTAAGAAGACTGAACATTTTTAAGGAAAAAGGGACTGTGCATATGGGTGGTGCTTGGGGGGTAAGGGGAAGGGGCTGTGCTTTTTTCCTTTCCTTTGATCCGCATTCCTGCACTTAGGGCTAGAGTTGGCTGTAAGACTCATGAATGGAGAAGCAGATTTTGCTGCTGAGAAATTGAATAGGTATTCTGGTCATGAAAGAAGAAACAAAATAGTTTTCACGCATAGTTGTTTTTAGTTTGTGTGGTTGCCTCTGGTTTCAACCCATTTTAACTACCCACCCTGATATAAACATGTATAGCTCTGGAGATCAAAAATTAAAGCAGACTGATTCCTGCACGGATCAAACCCCTCACCTCCTCCCCGGGTTGGCTGTTCCCTCATTGCGTGCTTCTGCAGGGGTCTGACCAGCAGCGTGTTCTTCTAATCTGTGGCGCAGGCGCAGTTAACAGCAGTTAAGGCAGAGGGGTGCCTCCTCAGTACAGGACTCCTGATTGTAGCCAGAGGAACACACTCTATTCAAACCCTTTTTCACATGTCATACCACGGTCATGTGAACTCCAGTGAGGGGCACCATATAAAAAGTCCACATTATAACAGAGCATAGAAAATGGCTACCAACCTTTATTGAGTGCCGAAATTAAATTGATAAATCGATAAATTGTTTGACAGAAAAGTTATTGCTGACTATTTTGATAGAACTTAATTTAATTATACTGCATGAACAATTGTTGGAAATGGCATCACTCAAAAGCAATGTAAAGATATCCCTTTTGGGATATGTCAACTTGTGATTTATATTTCTCTTTATTTACTCTTTCATGTCACACTATTCCCCTCTTGGGAGCTCTTCTGGAACTAGTGTTCCACCTACACCTACAATATGCCGAAGTTATTGTTTGAATCTTTATTGATGTTTTTATACATTTGGATTATCTTAATACAGTTTGGAAAACCTTTGTCCAAGAAATACATTGTAACTATCATGAATTTAAGCTGCCTGCAGCTGCTGTGCTTCATGAAGCAGCAAACTAAAACATTTTTACAACCACATTTAAAGTTTAAAGGGAATGAAATGTCTCATACTTGAAGAATATAAAGTTTGGAATGGAGTAATTTCCCAAATATGAGATTGTTTTTGCTTTACTCTGGGATCCCTTTTAGTGTGTATGTGAGACAAATATCATCAGTTCATGCCCCGGTATGCTGTGATATTTGCCATTATTCTTGCTTGTGGACTAAAAGGTAAATCAGGTATTCAAATAAATGGCACTGTTCCCTATTGGCATATCATCAAATTCACCGGCACATCATTGATGATTAAGTAGTTTGAAAGCTAGATTTTCTGCCGTAACCTATAACTAGAGTGACACCATAACATTTTGATATTGTAAAAATACTACTGGTGACCTCTAGTAGACATCTACAACACGTCTCACAGTGGCTCATAGTGTTACACAGAGACCTGCTCATACACACACATGCACTGACAAAGAGACTGGGCTGCGGTGGTTTCCTAGGTCCCGGTACGTGAGGGGTTCCAGATGTTGATAGGGAGAGATCTGTTTGTTTAGATTAGACTGCACAGCTGAGGGATAGATTAGTTCTGCCTGGGCCGTGGAACGCTGTGCTGGGCCGTGCTGGGGGACTGGCCCATCGTCTGAGAGGAGAGAGGAGGAGAGGAAAGAGCGGCTGTTTATGTTACATTTGGAACTGCCCTCCGCAGGCGACCCATGGACGACCCCGCCTGGAAGCTGTGTGGCCTGTGGACGCACGCATACTCACACAATACACTCAGCTCATATTAAATCTCTCAATTGCTTTACAATTGACTGGTGCTGCATTTTCACGTTTGTGATCTCATGTGGTGTCTGTCGTCACCTGCTTTCTGCTAGTGTCGAGGTCTACAGCAGACCACCATTAGCCCGCTAGTGTGTTTATTCTACATGCTGTCACGTGCCGCAGCTTTCGAAGAGATTGTCTTTTCTCAAACAGTGCTCACTCAGCACCGTTTATAAACACTCTGACACAGGAAGTTCTGTTTATTAGACAAAGCGACAGAGAGCAATTGGGAGTGAGCCGCATGCCTGCACAAAGGGGCGATTGTGTCAAACCAATGAGGATCTATGGGGGTTTGTGTTTCGCTAAACATTAAGGGAATGATATTTATTTTTTAAACTTTCTCTCCTACCTGGACCACACAATTATTTTAGTGGCATGCAATTAAGGCAGCCTGCATCTACACTTTTGCTGTGATTGTTTCCACTTCCCACCCACCATTTGTTTTTGGCTGAAACAGGAAGTTGTAGTATTGTGGTTACCTTTCTTGCTCTCCCCACACAAAAATGTGGCTTGACACTAGGGCTGAACGATTAATCGATTTTAAATCGAAGTCGCGATTTGAAATGATGCAATTATCAAATCGCAAAGCCTGCGATTTTTTAAACATTTTTTAAATTTCTTTTTACATTTATTTGTTTTGTTCTTCTTGTGTGTCAGTCATCCACACCAATCAGAAGTGCTGTGCTCCACATGTACCAGTCATTGTTAACCAATCAGAAGTGGCCCATGATAGAAGGTGATTGATCCAATCACCTGCCAAGTATTTTTGAAAGTGCCTGCCCTTTCCAAATGGCTTCCAATGGAGCTCTCCTAGATGGTTTGGTGAAACAAACCATCTGAGTCAGGTTAGTAATGCTCCATCACATGTTTCTATTACAGGGTGAATCTTAAACTGAAGCTTGACTTTAAAGCAACCCAACGGAAGTTTCATGTAAGTTTAGTCCTTTCACTCGTAGCTCGGGCTGCAGGGGTGCTAGAGACGGGAGCATGTTGATGCGACCTTCCTAGCCGGAGATATGGCCGCATTTTACAATAAACTTCCATTGGGTCGCTTAAAAACAAATATCGCAAATCGAATCGCAATCGCAATATTTGTCAGAAAAATCGCAATTCGATTGTTTTTCCCAAAATCGTGCAGCCCTACTTCACACCCTCTGTGTGCTTTCCCCAATGTCAGAAGACATGCCTAATGGCCTGTCATCGATTTCAGATACATCCTCAGTTTCAAATGGCAGAGAATTCTAGATGAACTTTCGTTGATTAGCTGTACTATATAACTATACAGTCGAGAAGCAGAGGCATAGAAGAGAGGAAAAAGACCCCTTTAGAGTTCCTCCTAGCCACAAATCGAAAATGGAGCCATCCCTTGGCATTCTAGGTTAAGGCAAACATAGGCCAAATTGTAAAGAAAATAGCAGCGCCGCCTGCCTCTAATTAAAACAGTATCGCGTAAACATTGGCCTTCCTGTAGAATGGCCCCTCGCTCTTTCGCTCTGTTTGGGTGCTGAGAGAGGAGCTGGATATGTGGCTGTGGTTAAGGGGCTGTGTTGATGGGTGAGAGAGGGCAGGAGAACATTTGGAAATGGGTCTTTTGTGGCTCAAGCTCCGGCCAAGGGTTGACGTTGAAACTGTGGGTTGAGCAGATGAGATATAGCTGCACTGTAATCTGGGCTGAATTGAGGTTAGCGTAACCAGTAAGTAACAAAGGAGAATACGAGGCCTATGGCATTCAGAGGATGTTTTTTGTTTTCATCAAGAACACAAAGATATGTGGGAGTGCTTTTTAATTGAATATAATAGTATATCGTCCTTAGATTTATGACCTGAACGGGGGCGTAGGGCTATGGATTGCAGTCTCAAGGCTACAGACTGAGGGGAGGCCCCTGGTCCCGGAGCGCTTTCTTGGGGGACATGCGTGTAGAGGCTAGGGGCCACAGGGTAGACCTCTGGGACCCTGAGGTCATCTCGTAGAGGCCCCGCTATTTAAAACCTCACCTGATACTCGCCCTGTGGCCTGGGTGCAGAGTGAAGACTCACAGCAGAGGGGAGGCAAGGGGTGGAGGATGGGAGAGAAAATGCAGCAAGTCACAGCTGTCACCAGGCATTGTTTGTGTCCTGTATGTGTGTGCATCTCTACTCATTTCTGCATACCTGTAGGAGTGCATCACATGAGTCACATGCGGAGACTATGCATTGTTCTCTCTTGTATCAGTATTTTAATTAACTAACTCATGCTTAACCTTTTGACATCTGTCCTCCAGCAGAGGGCAGTGAATCAGAGATAAATGTTGCTTTAATCTCTGAATTACTGTAACCAAACATGGACCAAACGTGTTTTTCTCTCTAAAGTAGCTCCCTCCCCACATTGCATGTCTGTTTTATATCTAGTGCGATTAAGAGTTGAGTACCCAGAGTTGGTGGTTGTTTTGTTGTTTTGCTTGTAATGGCAGTGGAGAAGGGAGCGGTATAATGTTAAATGCATGCGGAAGAAGCCATGACATCCTTTCTTGTGGACGAAGATGAGGAGAAGGAATAGGAGGAGGAGGGCCCTAAATGTGGCGTCTCCACTGAGAGGAT